ATGCAACATTCATTGTAATTAAGTTCAGCAGAACATGGTAGAACCTATCTAACACAGATTTATTATTCAGTATTACTCTTTACTCAGAAAAGATTAAATTAACTCTTTGATTGGTTGATAGCAATGAGTGAAATTGTCATGTTCAACCAACACCATGGGATATACGACTGTTCTTAGTTTTGCCTATCACCTCATAATTTGATTGGGTAAAAGGGATAAGAAATCCAAGAATTACTGCCTATAAGAAACATGGTTTTAAAATTTAGACCTGCATGGTTTATTACTGATAGGATTGCAAGGTTAAAGATCTGAAGGTAAAACAACTCCAAACACAGTCTTTGTAAAGAGACCACTCTTAAGAATGTTCATAAGTTTTAGCTAGCACCACCCTTACTTCAACATACCGGTATCTTTCACTTCCGCCTTGATTGCCTTGAACTTTTTTCAAACCCTACAATATTCAAATGTTTAGGTAAATATGAATATATGTATAAAATGTCTGTGTAGAATTATTGCAAATAATCAAAGGGATCCAGAATCACTGATAGTACCAAGTTTTCTGGGCCCAACAAAACCTCCCCAGGGACAGGCTTTCACATCTGCCCCCCCCCATTCCTTAAAATTAATACTAAGAGAGTTTCGTTCCTCATAAGCCCTTGATACAAAGCATGCTCATTCTTGGATTCTTGTATATGAATAGTGATGTAATAGCATTTGTGAATAAATTGTACAAATAGTTTTGCCCAAAATAATATAAAGCAAATAAACAAAAATAACACTTGCAAAACTCACCAACACTTGCAAAACAGGAGATTTTGGCAATTGCTATGATCTAAAAAAATTTCCTGTATAAACGTAAGAAAATCTAATGAATTAAGTAACTCTGTGGATGATTCTGCAATATTAAAAGTCAATCGAATACGTTAATACGATATAAGGGGCTAGCTGAAATATGGCCTTAAATATTTTCTTACCCCACATGAATTTATTCTAAGCACAAACAAAAATAATAAATATATAGATGCTTTCCTACCTTAATCGCTCCTGCAGTCAACGGATTAGACATTTTTGTACAAGATTTATCAGTGTCTTATCGAAACGATTTCACTTCGAAGCAAGACAAGCAACGTTTTAACAATATCTCCCGCCAAATTGCGCGAAATCGGGCCGTCGGGCGCATGCACTGCGTGTTTCCAATCTAAAAGTTGAAATTTCGTTTTCTTGCATCAAAACTCAAAAAGGTAAGAGCTACCGGTAACCATTCGTCATATTTTTAAAATTGTCTATAATCGAATCTCCCAAAGTTTCAGAATTGACCATTCCTCTGTGAACTAATTTTCCAACTAGGAAGACTCACTTTATCACTTTTTGCCTAAATATGTATTGCTTTTGAGTCCCACTAACGCTGAACGAGAAATTTTGTTTAAAATGAGCACTTTGTCATCTTTTCCTAATTTCCCCTTCACTACACGAGAATAAATTGTTTTTCAACAAGTCGTTACGTAACCAAAAGTTGAGCTGATTACAAAGGAAATAACAACGCATTTACAACACTTTACAAATTACGCAATTTTGAATGTATTAGTTACACAGTCTAAAGCAGGGACCGCGGAGCAGTTTTTGGATTGGGGGGGCTAGCGAAGCCGAAAGAGTGAACCCTCGGGGGGGGGACCATACTTATCTGTTTATATTTTTCTTGTAAACACTTCAATGAAAACATTGTTCACCAACACGGATAGTGAACACATAATTATGATTACACAACTTACTATAAGGAGTTTTTATTCGTATTATTATGGCCATGCATATAAAAATCGCTATAAAGGAATCACATGTATTTTGAAAATTATTGGGGGGGCTAAAGCCCCCCAGCCCCCCCCCCTCCGCGGTCCCTGTAAAGGCCCACACAAACCGGAAGAGAATATTGACCTTAAGAGAATCTACCCACACAAAAGTCCCTGTCGTCACAAACCAAATACAACATCCCCTAAGCTTGTAGATTAGTAACTAGTATAATTCTTCTCAGCCGGTTTTATTATTTTTAGGTTTTATCAAAGAGAGATCACATTATTGTTGCAAAGATTAAACTTGTGCTGTTTTTCACATTGCGTGAAGTGATTGAATGAAGTCCATTGGTGCGTTTTTTAGTTTTACTCAGAGACAGGGATTAAGATTCAGTCCTACTGTTAATTAGTTAGCCTATAGGGGCCGGTTGTATAAACTGACTCTTAATCACTTTTTAATCACTTTTTTTACAGTTTACTTTAGTTAGCGCTAATCATAGTAATAACAACGTTTTATACAACCGGCCCCTGGAACGTAACAATGGTCTTCATTTTACTACTGACTGTGAATTAAGATTAGAAAACTTTGAATGTGTTTTCGACTGGTTATAACAGGTCTGTCGTTAATTCAAACTTTTCATAGCCACGAGCATTTTTCCCCCGATTTTCCATTTCTAGTATATGTGTTTGAGTGAGTTATGACTTTTGCAGTGCATGCAGTGACATAGTTGTTTTGCATGACAAAGAAAATTAATCTTATTTGTTGCATTCACTACTTAATAGCATGCATATACAGCCATACACCAGAAGATAATCGCCGTGAAAAAACGAGGTTTACTGCCGCCGTATTGTTTCAAACAATCTCTTTCCTAGAAAATCTTTTTCCTAAAAATTTTTCACTAGGAGTGAAGATACATTGAACGATTAGCTATATATATCTACCAATATTACAAAAATGATAACTTCGTCACATATATAATTTAATCTTTCTATTAGGTAAATATACTATGTAGTCATTTATTATATCTATTAATCACGCATAATTCATATGAATGTTCTTTTAAAATCATTATTCTAAAAAGGCCAAATAAATAGACCTTTTCAGCTTGTATGCAAATTAACCCATTTCAAATGAAATGGTTAAGTTTTATTGGTTATTCCATGGTCACCACATCTGAAATGGCTTAATTTCAGCATGCAAGCTGAAAAGGCCTGTATATAATAAAAACGAATCAGATAAAAATTAGAACAAATCACGAATTTCTGTTATGGACAAAGCTTAGAGTGATAATTCAAATAATGATAATTCAAAATTAAACCCATTGCGGTTCCTCTTCTATTTTTTGCCATATTTGATGGATCCATATGACAATCAATTAGGTTTTTGATGTAATATTACTAGCTACATTCAGTGTCTTTGTATTCTTCTTCAGCGACTACAGGAGGACTTACTCTAAAGAATTTGATCTAAGTTTTGATGTACCGTATTATGTTTGAGACCATTTCTTTTCATCCTATATACAAGTAAGTTGTTCAGAATCATCAAATCTCATTTACCCAACGCGCATTGTTTTGCTGATGATACTCAACTGTGTTTATCCTTTAAACCTGGAACTATGTTGGCAGCAGCTGGGAAAGGTTAACATCGATTGTCTGCAAGTGGGAGACAAGCAGATTACGCCATCTTTTGTGGCGAAAAACTTGGGATCTTGGCTTGATTCTAAATTAAACATGTCAAAGCATATTATGTAACAAGACATGTAGCACTGCTCTTTCCCATGTTTTCACCGGTAATTCACGATTCAGACACATTACACATGTCTTGGACGCTTTGCACTGGTTGCCTGTTGCTTACAGGATTCAGTTTAAAATTTTATTATTAATTTTTAAGTATATACATGGATTAGCCCCGAAATATCTAATGGATCTTACTAACATTAAAAGGCACACTAGGTACAGTTTAAGATCAAGTGGAAATTTGACACTATTACCACTATTTGACGCTACCAACAGGATAATGTTTGACGACTCTTGGACTTGGTGGGAGAGCATTTAAATCAGCTACTCCAAAACTCTAGAACGGTATGCCGGCAAATATTCGTAATATGGACAATTTAAATTATGTTAAAGCATTGAGAACCTACTTATTTAGGATGGCCTTTGAACACTGATATACTTCAGACCTTTTATGAAGTGAAATCTAATTTTAGATGTAAAAAACTTTAATTTAGTAACTGTAATTAAATTCTAGAATTTTATGTATTGCGCATATGAACATATCTGCATGCCAACAGGGACCGCGGAGCAGTTTTTGGATTGGGGGGGCTAGCGAAGCCGAAAGAGTGAACCCTCGGGGGGGGGACCATACTTATCTGTTTATATTTTTCTTGTAAACACTTCAATGAAAACATTGTTCACCAACACGGATAGTGAACACATAATTATGATTACACAACTTACTATAAGGAGTTTTTATTCGTATTATTATGGCCATGCATATAAAAATCGCTATAAAGGAATCACATGTATTTTGAAAATTATTGGGGAGGCTAAAGCCCCCCAGCCCCCCCCTCAGCGGTCCCTGGCCAATATGCTAATATGTTAAACATGCATTTGCGCAGTAAACAATAATGTATATCATATAATATAGAAAATAAAGACACATTTACATCGCATCGGTGAATTACTCAGTTTACGACAACTAGAACTAAATTAAAACCAGGGCCCCTATATATAGCCGCGTTTACACTGGACCAGGTCTAGGACAAGTCCAGGTAATATGTGCCCCACGTTCACACTGTCTTCCTTGTTGCTGATATCAGATAGCCAAAGTATTTGACAAAATACTTAGAATAGGACCCAAAACACACCGGAAGGTGATAATACTATATATATCCTATATAAATCATACTATTAGGTTAAAAATTTGTCATGATTAGGTAAAGCCTAGATTCATATACAAGAATCCAAGAATGTGCACATTACCAAAATCTTGCCCCAGGTTAGGTCCAGGCCTGGCCCAGGCCACCTTTTGCTGTTGACCAGGATTTTGTGGCCTACACCAGGTCCTGGCCTGGTCTAGGCCGGATAAACAATGTTCACATCTAGGCCTAGGCCTGGTCCAGGCCAGGTCAAACACGTAATGCAAACGCGGCTTGTTTCAGATCCATATGCATGCATGAGTATTGTTGCTAGTTATCGTATTACGACGTAATGTTTTTTTTTTTACTTTCGTGATAAATCTTGCAGGTCCAGCGTCCTTGATACACGAAATATGCTGGGTAGCATGTTGCTAAGTGTGTGAAACATATCTGACGAAATGTCCTGAAGGAAAGATATATTATTTAGCATTTATACGGATAAGCATGGTTAAACGGAGCGTGGTCAAAAAAAGCACGGTCAAAAATGAACCATCACGCTTTGCACGATATATATATTTAGTATTTTTGCATGCACAAGTGAATATATCAAATCCTGCATTCTGATTGGTCATATTTGACGTATTATAAGAAATTTCAAAATGCCGGCGGCTAGCCGTTTTGTGGACGTTTCTAGTTACAAAGAGAAAAGCGAACAAATTTCTTGTGTCAATTCACTAGTGAAAAAATACTAAAACAATTTTTCGGCTTAGGCTCGGTGATTATCGGAAATCACCTCGACGTTGTCTCGAATAATGTTGCAACAAAGTAACAGCTACCAAAAATACACAAAAGTATTTCTCGACGTTTCGACAACATATACTACAGTGATCATACGTGTTTTTGTTTAGTGCGAGGTTGTGGCAACAGCAAAACAATACAAATGTATCAAACCTAAACTTTATGAAGTCATATTAAACTTCTATTTCACAATGAATATTATTCAGTTACCTTCGGCAAAACAAACTGGATATTGAATGATTCAGAGCCACTCCAGGATGCACATTCCATCATAAAACCTATACGTTCATCAGGAAACCTATATTATTACCTCTATTAGTCGATTCATTTATGGGAGGTTATGTGCATCGACGTTTCAAATAGCGCTAATATAACAGTATTTTGCAAATGTAAAATTTTGCCTTTTTATTTCCATGTATAGATTTGCTATATCAACCACTAAATCTACCTCAACTTTCACCATTGCTTTTTGGGGGTTAGTCAAAAGCTTAAAAAAATCGAGCTAAAAAGCCGGAGGAAACACTTTTAAAATTCCAGTATAATCTCTGCAGTGGCTTTCTAAAACACAATCTCATCTTTCAATTGAAATATTATAATGAACGTGAGACAATATATATGAATACCATTACACGTTTTCTTATCATATAATATATGTGTACTATTGGCGATTATCGTGTTTGATCAAGCAATCGGGTATACGCGCCCTGGGAGTTAAAAACCTTTAATAAAAACAGACTTATATTATTATATAATAAAAAAAAATGCGGTCACTCGTTCAATATTATTCTTAACACTCGAAATAAATTCTATATTTCCGCGCATCCATGTATTATTCTCTATACACAGGGGTGGACAAAAAAAGTAGCCCCCGTCGAATTGTGGCACAACAAGGAGGAATTTCGTTTTAAACTAATCGGTATATTTGTTTACATTTTTCAGGAAAAGCCAATCAGAATGCCTAATTTCTTAATACTTCATGTAAAATGGTATATATTGTACTTTTTATCAAGATTTATGCATTCTGATTGGGTTACTAAAAAAATAAACAAACTTGCTGATTGGCTAAAACGAAATTCCCCCTTGCTATGTAGCACACTTATATAATTTCACTATATAATAGATGGTATAGAGCCAATAAATGTTTTGTGTTTGCGCGTATTTCTTTTGTTTTCGGAACTTGTTTAAAAGAATTGTGATTATAAACCCCAGATTAAAAAAATAAAATGTATTTGTAGCACTTTCCTTAAAAATTCAAGATGGTGGTTTTCGAGCAGATATGGATGGAAATTTTGAAATTGTGAAATAAATGTCTGTTTCAAAACAAATTCTTCTGAAAAGTAACCTTTAATTTTAATAATAATATATAGTCAATTTATTAACCGAAAAACCCCATCTCCTTAAAAAACCCAGCTATACCCAAAATTTCTACGATATACGTACAATTCATTACCATGTACCTGCACATTTGAATGCAAATGTTGTATCTTTCAGACTACACAATATATAAATATCAATCACGTGACTATTGAATGTGGCTTATTTTGTTGACTCTTCTCTTGTTTCTTTATTAATATCAATTTTTATTCGCCTTACTATGACATTTAAAAAATTTTCAAAACAGATTTCCAGCGATTTCCCAAAAAAATTAATGTATGCAGTACAATCACGTGATCCACATTTACGTATTATTTCCAGGTGATAACCTTTATGACAACGGCTGTGTATATTATATATATATACCTTTAACACACTTCAGAACCAATTCTGCTCGCCTTGTACACCACGTTACTGTCATGTCCTGAAATTATGAATCAAAACATATAACAGTGATACAAAAATACTGAGAGACGTCATAACATGCATATTTTTTAACGGGTTGGTTTTCTCTGCATGCAAGAAAAGCTATCTTTGAAAAATCTTTCGGTATAGGTAAAACCAGTATTGAAGTTATAAAGCACATTATACATTTTTATTGTATGGCAAGCGTCACTTCCGGTGAAATGAGCTCATTGTTTGGCTGAAAAGAATTTTCAGCGGTCCAATACTTTCCCGTAATGGAGCAGTGTTACCGACGATCCATTACGAGATGAAAAATAGAGAAATTCTGAATGAAAAAGGCACAAATAAATGCTCAAGAGAAAATTTAATTGATTTTGCAATTAATAAGACTCCTCCAGACACTTTAGTTAAACTAAATAATTCAATATGTTGTTTTTGTTTTTATCAAATGCGTACCAGGCTTCTCCTATAAGAAGTGACCAATATATTTTTTTCAGACAAACCAATTCTTTAGTTGGTAAAATACCTAATTCAAAGTACCACCTACGAAAATGGGTTATTTTATAGAAGTTTTTCTATCAGTTTTTTCAGTAGTTGAATAATGTTTTTAGGATATTCACGGCTCAACCAAGTGAATTTCTCGCTAGCTCTAAGAGGTACAAACCTCTGTCATTTCCTCCGCCAGCAAAACAGGTAGTGTTATGGTGTGAATATTTTGACGTGAAGCTGTATGCAGGACATTACGCAAACCACTGACGATTGCATTTCGTGCTGCAAGGGTGGGCGATTTTAGAGAGTCGTCGACGACCAGATGAAACACAACATGTACTTGAGAAAGATTGGAGTGACGTGTAATGTAAAAATTACCTAAAGTAAATATTAAAGATAAAAAGTAAATATTATTAAGTAGTAACTGGCAAGAAATATCGACAAAGTTTTTCTAACTCACCAGTCTCCATGGTTGAAGTTTTAAAAGCTTCATCATTTCTTGCGTCGATAGCCCCACTTATTTGCATCTTTTTCTGTCGTCTTTCCTCCAAATTCTGTTGAATCATACAAAACTGCTTATCCAAGTCAGGAAAATGGAAGTCCGTGGACTGCTGACATATGGACGCAAACTCTACAGGATAGCAAACAAATAATCAAACAGCTTATAAGATATTTAGAACAATATATTTCTCAAGTATTATATTATATAGTTTTACCAATATATATAATCGTAAAAAACAAAAAGTTCTTGCATCGTCTTACTTCACCTCCTTTTTTTCTGGTTTTAAATCACCGGTGTTAATAGAATACAGAGCTACAACGATACCTTTCTTAATTCCAGTGTAGGAGTTAATTCTATTGTCGACAAGCAAAACCAAGCCGGAGAGTGATTGAGAATACAAGGACATTGCAGTTTGAATTCTTTGGGGTTGTGCCCATATACTAGTCCTAAACGACAAAATGGGATGTTACAATGCATTCCCGCTGTTTCTTCATACTCCAATACATGTTCACGATTATGTTCACGACAATTACGACAAAATGAAAGCGAGGCCTTACCTATAACCATATACGCTATGGAATTTGTGCATGCATAAAAGATATTTGCAGAAAACTTTTATGTTCCAAACCATTACATAGAGAATTTAATTCAATAATTATAAACTTTTATGTTCCAAACCATTATATAAAGAATTTAATTCAATAATTATTAACTTTTATGTTCCAAACCATTATATAGAGAATTTAATTCAATAATTATTAACTTTTATGTTCCAAACCATTATATAGAGAATTTAATTCAATAATTATAAACTTTTATGTTCCAAACCATTATATAGAGAATTTAATTCAATAATTATTAACTTTTATGTTCCAAACCATTATATAGAGAATTTAATTCAATAATTATAAAAATACATTTTTGAAGGAATTACATTCCATACCCTTGCTTAGCAGGTTTATAACGACATAAATCGAGAAGATCACAACACATCAACCTAAGATTATGCGTTGATTTCATCTGTGCTCCTAGAAAACGCAATAATATAATTCAAAAATCTTCATTTCAGCTATACATTACATCTTTTTAAGCAAACTTCCGCGGTTATTTTTTAATTTCTACACAACAATAACATGCATAAATGATACAATATATGTTGCAAGGTTGATCTAGCTCGTATTGTATGAGCATTAGCCTGTAACTGTAAGCATAGATATTGCTGGCTACATGCATATTATGTTTCAGGAATCGAGACCTATGATATGTTACAGCAAACGCTAAAAGGTTACATTTACTAAAAGGCTACACGATTTCATATTTTTAATTCCTCCCGGTGAAACTAGGGCCCGTTTTATAAGAAGATTATATGCGATATATATCAATGTTTGTTGACCAAGTTAATTCCGTGATTACTAAAAAACAAACAACATTAATTTCCTGATTATTTAATTTCTGCAAATTGTGAACCCTATACGATTACGAACATTGTTAACGAACCTAAGTGTATCGTAAAACTTTCTTCCAACATCTGATTGTGCACCTCATCAGGGAGCAAGCTAACGGTAGATGCACTGCGAGATCTAAAGCTGTGAAAATAATACATTGAATGAATTCGAGTGCTATTTTTCAGCATTACAAAAAGCAAATTGACGTTTCTGAAAATATGTATTAGAATATAAAGTTGTTCTAATTAATCTGTTAAGGTCTTTTAATTAACTTTGTTAAGGTTCGCCCGATACCTATTGTCGCAAGAAGTTGAAATTTTAAACCGTAAAAAAAATTTTAATCTCATCTTTGCAAATTAGATTTAAAAATACAAGCGCGTATGTACAAACTTCTGGAATGTATACACTCATCATTTATAGACCAGAGAGGCGAGAATTTGGGGAAATATTATCTAAAGTGCACTATTGTACGAAATATTACCCTCGCTTGCGTCATCATTCAGATTTTAACGGTCATGCTGCGTGGCGAGACCACTATATAGGCAACGTACGTGACAGGCATTCTAGTCAGAATTTGATGATAAATTTCAACAAGGCAAAAAATTCTTAACTTTATATTCATTTATAAAAGGAAAATTTTCCTATCCACTGGCGGCAAGGAATAGATGAGGTTCTCGCGCCTCCCGCCCACTGATCTGAAATAAGAGCTCCCGCCCCCCTACCGTTACATTAGTTAATGAAGCCTCGAAAGGTGAAAAATATATTCAGCAGGGTCATGTAAATTAAAATAAATATATACCTTTCAAAAGAACCACCCGGATCTAAAAAAGTTAAAATCAAGTAAAAAAACGGTAAAATCAAGAAACAATTTACTACTCGACCCTTTTGGAGAGAAAGAATGCAAAGAGGAAATAAATTGTTCATATGTTTTTTAAACACGCACCGTTTGTCCACTGTACTACAATAATACTAAAACTAAATTGACTTCGCAATATATTACGTACAACACACCTTTGCTTGACGTCTGGACAAGATCTTCGTGCACTTTACCAACCCATTCTTGATATTCTCTTTTCTGAACTTCTTGAAGGTCTGACAAAGCACTCGACCATTGCGTCGATATCATCTGCAGAATGTAATAAATGAAGGATTTTCTGTGTTGATCTGTTTCTGGTTGTGCCACACCTCTTATCTTAACAGACTAAAAGTTCTGAATTTTTTTTCAATTTCACTCAATTGTACTCTAAATATACAGGAAAGCATCAACAAATTAGGGACCAATATAGTAACCTGTGTATCTTCACAATGTCTTGCCGCAAGATTATTTACTGATTCGTGATAGTTATCCGAATTAATGCCAGCAACTCCAGGTTCCAGTGCTTCTTTCATTTCCTTATTTTGCCTGAATCGGTAAAGAAAGTTGAAAAAATTGGTGTTTACAATTTGAGACTTTTTGGACAATTTGGAAAGTTCTTCACAACTAAATTTTAGACCGGCTCTGGGATAAATCGCCTTAAATCACTATTTTATTTGAGCAAGTATCTCTTAAACCACCCTAAATCAAGTTGTAATAAATAGCATTAAGTCATATCCTTACGGTCCCAAAGCTCCCAAGTCAAGTTTAGACGATGCTAACAACTGTTGTGAGGAAAAGCAAAGCGAATATGTTTTGCCAAAATATATCATGCAGTTTAGGCACAAGAACAAAAATCCATACATCTTCTTCCAAACTATATCTTATATGATATAGAGCGCCCATGACATTGGCCCTATGCATTGGCCCCATGTAAAGCAAACTTTCGACCTAATGACGTAAGGCAACAAGATGCAGACTTTAAGGTTTTCTTATGACCTCTTTCGCATTCCTTTCTCAAGGGATGGTATTTTGGCTATGTCCAAGACAAAACATCCTTCTTTAATGCATGCATGAAAAAAAAAAATAAATATGGAAATAAGCTAATGACAAGAAAATGAGGCTTAGAGTTAGAGGCCTGATTCTTAAGTCTCGTTTTGGTTTTAAAGGTTTTTTTAGTCCCGAATGGATGGAATTTTTTTCATGTATGTGTTGAAGGATGATGTTTCGCATGCATGTTTGAAAGAGGTTCTAAGTTAAAAACAATGAAGTTGTGACGTGTAACTAAAAAAGTATAAAAATTAAAACAATCAATATACTTTTGTTCTAACTTGTCCAGAGCAGCATCTCTTTGTGCCAACATATCCTGAACAGCTAATGCATAGGTATTCTCTAACTGAAGTAATGTCTCTAAGGATGCTGAATGGATGAGGAGGTGGTACATCTCAGAGAAGGTCAGTTCCTCGGTTTTCACTTCTTTTGCATCAGAATATTTTGAGCATTCTTGTGTAAAAGCTTCGTTCCATGAATCAATCGCTATCTCAGCTTGTTTTGCATTGTGTGTACATATCTCTAAAATTTCATCTGCTTGATCATCAAAAAATGCATTATTTTCTTTCCTCATGAAAAGCGTAAGACAATTCAGTAAATCTAAAAGCAATTAGAATGAAACCAATCAAATACAAAATCGATGCAGTAGCCTCTTTTTGATTTGATTTGTAGGTTTCATTTAGTACTTCAAAAAGTGTTTAATGTCTACTAACAGTTTGCCTTTTCACTAGTACTATACTAGGTTACCCATGGGTAAAAATGCTGCCTGAAAGCACGATGTCAGTGTTCGGGTTGCCAATCTCGTTCCCACGGGAATTCACTACGAAGGATCCTGTACGAAGGCTGTTTATAGCTTAACCTATTTCCTAGTTGAATTTTTAATATTTTATTTAATCCTTGACCCCAGTGTTTGCTATTTTGGTTGCTATTTACTTATGGAGTAGTTTGTTCGATGATCTATGAACCCTTTGTAAAATTTACCTGTTATGGTAGTGCATGTGCCGTGGTTCAAAATTTATCTCTGCTAATTTACTTTGGATTTTAGATATTGTTTATTGTATACCTCTTAATTGATATGGAAAGGGGGAATTGACAGCCAATAGTTGCGGAGATCTACATATTGAAGATTTTATGATGCAATTAAGTTCTCGGACTGTTTTTAATACATCTTCATCCGCCTGGCATGATAATGGAATATGCAATGGATAATTTGCAATATTGCTTTGAAACCTTGTCATTCAGCTACTACAGATTATAACAATTTATTCTGTTGTGACTCGAAATAGCAGCGTGTCTAGAGGTTTGCCCGCGTGAATTAAGCATCGCCACTAAATTAGTTTTGACGCACATTTCGATACTATACATTTACGTGGTTTGACAGAAAACGTATGGCAGAATTCGAGTATACAAGTTGCCAATATGTCAGCCGGCCAACCTATAGAAATTGTTGGCGCATTCACATGTTGATGTATTGCCTGGTTTGTTGATATATCGCTTGTTGCCAAGGATCAATAGATCAAAAACATTATTATGGCCAATTCGTTATCTTGAAGTACATTTCTGGCGTTTTCAACGCTTCGAATCTCTACACGAATAATAAATTCGTTAAAATATTTAGCGCGCAGACCAAGGTGGCAGTCCATAATGTGAGGTTTTACCCGATGCCTAGCCGTTTCTTGTCATGACATGCCGTCATTATCCAGCCGCAATGCGTGCAGGCACAAGTGAAAGAATGTATAAGAACTTCCAGAATGCAATGCACATAGCAAAATCAATATTTTCCCTCCTAATATATAGATTACTAAGATTAGGAGGAGTGCTGCCTTGCTCGCTTGCTTCAGGCTTGCTTGCTGCGGCAGCAATAAGGTTATGTTTATGTATGCCTTTGAAAAAACCTTTTACCAAATTATCTTGAAATGTATATTACCAAAATTGGTCAGTTATTGTAGTCATATATGGACTTACAGTATAATCTTTTTGTCCACTTTTTTATAAAAAAATAAAAACCCCAACATAATGACTAATGACATTGCTCCTGAAGCCTGGTTTTGATTTCATTTAGTCATAATTGTCATGAACAAGTGATTTTCACTGATGAGAAATAGTTTGGATGTAAATTTGTCTTTATTTTAGTATTTAAATGGTTATGCTGACTGAACCATACATAGAAATATTCTATCACATCAGACACCTTTACATGCATGTATGAATGTTGTTGTGTTGGTCAGCTTAAAATATTTTAATGATTTAGCCTGTGGTGCAAGTGTGACCAGTGGATACAATTGCAACCAAGCACAAACCCTACAGATACAGTTGAAGAACCATCCCACTCCCATCACCAAGTCATAATTTCAAGTTGGGTCATGTACTGATGGAAATTGTGCAAACTGCACAACCATGAGTTAAAAAAATACTAGTAAGTAGTAAATATATAGAAGACATCAAAATTGTGTGCCCAATACTTTCCACACTAGGATCACAACTACAATGTATAATTGAGGTTGCATTATACTTGCATGAAACCCAGTAGTTTATAGTAAAATGTAATAAAAAATACCCTCTTCCAAGTAGGCTGGCAAATTGTGATAATTCACAATTCTCTTCGTCAATTCATTCACTTTTGAAACATCAGCGGGGATTTTTACATTTGTCAGAAACTTACAAGACTTGTCCTCATTCACAAACTCAAAACTAAATTCCTTTGTTAAACCAGACATCCTGATTGCATTATCATTCATATGCACAAAAACATTGCTACTAATGTATTTTTTCCTGTTTTTGAGTATTTGAGCATAATAACAAATTACAAATAGCTCAGTCTCATTGTTGTACCACTGGTGATTGGTTACCACTGATACAGTAGAACCAGAACCAACCACTACGATATCTGAGCCCACGACTTCATCTTCAATTGCATCTATGTCAGTGGTAACATGAACGGAGCTTCATATAGGCTTGGCGAATAAGATTGAAATACCCGATTAGCACCTCATTACACGTATATAAACAGGTTTCATTATCTCTCATTGCCCGTATGTAAGTGCTAACGAAAGATCTGCTGTACCTGCTGGCGCGCTGCCTCCAGAGCAGGCTGGAATCGACCTATGAATCGACTGACCTTCGTTCCGCTAAAAACCGCGAAACTATAAAATTTGCGCCAGTGTTCCGTGTTCGCCATATTGCTTTGATCACCTTGTGTTCTTTATTAATATTCATTTGTTTATTCGTTGTAATTATTGGAATTTTGCTGTGCCGGCTTTGGAACGTTGCAATCAACTCTAGGGTAGCTTGGGGAAACTTCAAATATGATTGTTTACAATTAAACATGTGAGTAATTAAAATAGTGTACTGTGCATTTTTTATAGCAAAGATAAAAATATATCACCACTTTTCCTGGGTATTTCGCCTTCGATTTTTTTATTTATTCGCCTTCGCCTGGGTATTTCGATAAGTCTGATAAGTCATGAAATTATTACGCTGAAAGCTAACCTTGATTGTTTCGTAAATAGTGGTTGACTGATTGTACTATATTTTGTTTTTTAACGTCAAATTACTGTATATAATTTTATAGGGCCCGAGGAAAGAAGTTAAAAACAACATTTAAAGTTGTGGAATATAGAGGGGGACGTGTTCGTAAACGCTCGAAAGTCACCATACCAGTTCATATAACATTACCTGGCCAATCATCTGTTTCGGGGCAAGCGAACACCAGTGGCAGTGATCATAATGTTAAAGATATAAATGAAGGTGATCAGTATGACGGATCAATCGTTGACTTTACTGATGTTGCCAATGTAGATGATGATCACACGAATGAAATTCCCCAATATGGAAAACAATCCCTCCTTAAAACTCGTGTTAGGCAATATCGTAAGAGAAAGGAAGCGGAAATAGAAGCCTGGTCAAACATACGTGAAAGTATGCTGGATAAATACGAAAGCATGGCATTATCCAATGATACCAGTTGCTGCTTTTGTTCAAACATAGCTGAGTGCCGATGCCTTCAATGCGGAATCCTGCAATTAATGTGTGCTGAGTGTTGTAATAAGAAGCACAAGCAGTCTTTGCATGTGCCAGAGATATGGAAGGTAGAGTATAATTATAATGTATAAGCTGCATGGATATAGGTAGGTGAATGTAAATGAACAGCAATGAAAGGATGAAGAATTTCTGGTTTCCAGTTTAATTTCAAAAGACAAGAAAACCATTTTTTTTCAATCACTAATTAATTTATATAAATAGAGGGAGCGAGGAAATAATAGTTGATAGTTATTTATATGATGTTAATTAGACTACCTCTGTTAGTTAATAGTTTATGGGTATAGTCGAGTCAGCGCACAGCTCAAAACTGGTATATTTTCACCAATATATTCATTCCAGTAATTTCTTGCTACCAAAAATTATAATATTATTTATTTATTTTATCAGATTGTATGCTTTCATTTATAATTATTACATTAAGGTTATTTGATTTTTTATTGTAGGAAGATAGGTTTGAGGTTTTTGTTTTGAAAGAGATGTGTGGAGAAAACCTGATGTGAATGATTTAAGTGGCTATGTTGAAGAGATTACTGTTGTTAATTCATCTGGTATGGTGTTTGATGTACATATATTTCAATTCTTAAAGTTTCTGAATTCTTTACTGTCTGACTAAAAACATTTTGTAACAGTTGCTTTTAGAAAACAACCTGACATTTAACTTTAATCTTACTGCTATTAATTATGTTTTGTAGGAGTTCAAATCAAAACATCTGTTATGTTTTATTATGATGAGGAACCATGCCTAACCCTTATTGGTTATGGAATGTGGCCAGCTACACCTAAAGAGCCAAAGGTTGCATTTGAGATCCATCTACTTGAAATAGCTGAAGTACTCTTCCTGGAGTGCCGTTTGTCTACAAAGCAATTTTGCAATGCCCTAAAGTGGTTATGTCCAGATCTTTCTCCAGCTTATGTAAGTAATTAATACATAATTACTGTATATTATATGTTTATATATATATATATATATATATATATATATATATATATGTATAAAAATATATAAATATATATATATATATATATACACCCGTTTGCAAAAACGTTGGCCGCAGATAGATATATAGATAGATACCCGAAATCTAATTAGAATTGCATATGTTGTGTAATATTTGAAATCCCATGCAAATGTAATCATATGCAATTCTAATTAGACTTCGAGTATCTATCTATCTATCTATCTGCGGCCAACGTTTTTGCAAACGGGTGTATATATATATATATATATATATATATATATATATATATATATATATATATATATATATATATAATGTTACGGGAATAAGCACCTTTCAACATGGTTATTAAAGTGAGGGGCTTTTTGCATTAACCATGCATCACTTTGATTGTGACTCTGACGGTTTAGTGTATTTCATTAGTGGTACATATAAATGTTGTGGGTTACCTACAGTATGTAAGAAATAGTATAACACCATTTAGATTGCAATTTAATTTCCAATAACGTTTTTGAGTAGATACGGCAAAGGAATATTTTGGGCAACAATTACATGAACATTTTTGGGGAAGGGACATTCAGGTTAAAGTGATTTTTTGGTGCAGGTTATTAATGTCATGCATGCTTAATAATTAACCTCAATGAAAGGGAGAGGTTTTGGATTAAAAAGCCTAGTAGTTATATGTGCAATATGGGCTCAATCTAATCAAAGAGGTTTAATTAATTTATGTATATGCTAATGTGGTAACTATTAAGTAATGTAGCATTAACCTTTTCTACTAGGTAAAAGACATTTACCGACTACTTGTTGGCGAATGCTTCACAGAATTTAGATTCATGCGACATCAGTTCAGGACACTGAAAAAACTCAACCCTCAGCTTGTAGATGATGGAACTATATGTCCAGCATGTCCCAAAGTGAGTCGATTTCGTTTGCTTAATAATATTTCCCATAATATTTCCCATAAGCCTTGATGCAGGAAAAACTCATATCAAAATCTTTATCCATTCCAAGGAAAAAGGAATTGTGCATATTTCTGTCGACGCACTTTTTGGGTGTGTAAGAAAAAAAAGTTCTGGCGAGAGCACTGCTCCTCCGAAGCATGGTGAGACATTTTTTATCTCGCAAGACAAAGTCGATTCATTCACCAATTCCTATGGAAAAAAGAAAGATGTGAAATCAGAGAATGTAAGAAAACTGTAACTGAATTATAATCTAAATTCATTCTAAATATTAATTATCCCGCTTTTCATTTCGTTCTATGATTATGTCCGTGTTTAACAAACTCCTTTTTTTGCCCTAAACTAAAACTCTGCATGAATATTTTCGTCAAGGAGTGCAACCAATTTCAAGCCGGAACAAATTTAAGATCCAAAGTAAAGTCCAACAAGCTTGATGAAACAGCTGTTTTTGGATGTTCTTGTCGCCATGAATTTCCTAACACCTTCTTTAGTCTTAAACGCGGAGAGCAGTAAGTATATATTTCAGCTAACTACTGTATTATTTTAATGGATTAACTGACGGGTTTTAATTCAGCATTAACTACTGTATTACAATAAGGACTTCACAGCATCATTAGACTTTTCGTAAACTTTCTTTAAAATGACAATAAAATAATTATTTTACTAGAATATCAAATGCGGTGTTTCTATTGAAACACGTAAAGGAGAAAATTTCACATCCTTCGGTGAAGTTAAATTTTTTGTATGATATTGCTTGCACTTTGGAGTCTCATTTAAAGGTTTGTTAAATAGACCTTAGAAGTGTTTAAATCCACAATTTTGCATTGCATTTTATCATTTTACACTGCCAAGATTTAGGTATATCTAAAAGCTATTAGGATGCATGATGTATTTGCAGTATGTTTTTAGTAAATTTTCGTGCACACAATACAAGTGTATCAACACGGCTTCAGCATGTAAACAGTATCGGTGTAAAATGCTTTCGCATCTTGAATGTATAATATTATAAATTTGTAACACTATGTTATAGATTTTGCCCGTTTTCAGCAATATAAAACTACATTTTTAGGCGAGTGGGCAAGTTGATTTGTTGGATGATGTAAATCTTGCAGTTCCTACGTTCCATGTATATGGTCATAAAGTAAAGTGTCAGGTAATTTTTATCCATTTTCAAAATAATCTTTTTGATCGTTACAGCTCATTGTACATCGTTACATTTAAGTTGTCATGTCAATTTTAAATAGGTATTGTATAGTCCTAGAAGATTGGAAGGCTTTGGATTGACAGATGGAGAGGTTATGGAGCGTCTTTGGTCATACCTTCGTCCCACTGGAAAAATTACAAAGGAAATGACTGCCAGCCACCGAATCGATGCGCTCACTGATTACCTTCTACATTATGCGAGGAAATCAGTATCGCAGATTGGTATGTTATTGTGTTTTACCTATTACACTAAAACAATTACCTAATGCTTAATTATGAAATACTATGATCATCTCGGATTTTATTGTTCTGTACGGAATCTGGCAGTTTGTAGGCCTGGCAAAACATCCGAACCGTGTCAACACAACAACAAAAATACTTATATTTTATGCATGCTAATCAATTCATGACAATTATTGAGTTATTATTGATGACAGGTAATCGCTAATTAATTTTCCTCATTTCATCGTATTCATTATTTTTCTATATATACATTTTCTTCAATTGCTAAAGGTGATCTGTTGTGTCAACGGATGCAAAATACCTTGGAAATGCAAAAGTACAGCAGTGAAGAATTTAAACTTTTAGCTTCAAAACTTGGAAAGGATGGTGAGTACTCATACAGCAAACCTGGAATAAGTTGAGACAATTAAGGTAGTTTATTCTGTGTACTTTACCTGTCTGTAAAGAATCAGAATGTTTTTAGAGTCCATCATATATA